CTCTCGAACGACCAAGGGCAAAACGGTAGTTCCTCCTAGTATTGAGGAGTGTACCCCCGGGCCTTATGATAAATCTTCTGACTTCCAAGTCGAAAACCCCTCCTCTATTCCGGGATGGTGCGAACCCATATCTCGGTATATCAGTTTAATAACCGAGATCAAGAAAGTGAAAGCCGACTGCCGTTGGGGGGAGGCGTTGCTACTAGAGATTCCTTCACAAGGAAAAGACATAACCACGTACAAGGCCTGTTTCCTTAGTGTGTACACATATCCTTTCACCCTAGGCCCGATAGAAGCCTCTTCACCATCGATAGATCCAGTGATCCTCGATTTTTGCAGCCAATATCAGGTGACACTGGACAAATTTATCCATCGTTCTGGCGCATTGTTTATATGGTTAGGTATTTCTCAAGTATGGTTGGAGGGATGCCTTTTACCATCGACCATCTATTTAGGATGTATAGCCCCCGACTTTACGAGGTGGCCTGATTAAGCAAAAGCGCCGATCTCTGAAGGCCTTTTTTGCTAGCATCGATGAAGACAAAGACCGAGGGTGGATGAGCCGCTTTGTCCGAGTCAGGACCTCGGACCTGATCCCTGCTGGGAGAATGCCATTCCCCGAGGAATGGAATATGAATCGTAAGTAAACACGTTTCGCTAATCGGATATCTTTTCTTGACTTTGAATTAACCTTCTTTGGTGATACAGTTGTCGAGTGGTACCCCGGTGCTGTCAACAATCTCCCAGGCTGGGTCCAACGACTCGATTCGATCTACCCGTACGCCGAGCGCGTGTGGTGTGATCTGGCTAAGACCCATTGGGAAGCCAAAAATCATGGTGAGTCTTTATCTCAGTCATATTCGAGCTCCTTAGAGGAGATACCTTTCGCTGATAATCTCGTCCTTTGTGCCTATGCAGGCCTTGGAGAGGCCGTCTTGATGAGGGAACCCCCATCTGGGGGAGCAAATGCCCCGAAGCCTGCTAAGGAGAAAAAGAGAAAGAAGAAATCACCAGCTGAGTCTTCAAAGCCGAAAAAGGCTAAAATTCAAAAGCCTGAGGCCGATTCAGTGGCCTCAACTCGGGAGGCGGCCGAAATCTTTGTGCCGAGGGCAAAAAGGGTAATGACTGCCTGCTGGTTATTTAGGGGGGAAAAGAAATGCTGTTGCCTCGAAATCTACTGAGCCGAAGGTGATTGAGTTGGAGGCTGCCGAGGTGTACCCGACCCGAGATGAGGGGATTGTTGAGGGGAATTCGGGCGAAGTCCCCGAGCCGACCAACGACCTAAACGTATTTAGTGCCGAGGGGCACCTGGCTGATGAATCCTAAGGAACCAATGATGAAGCCCCTTGGAGGGGGGAGAGGGCCTTCGTTGAATCAGTCGAGGTGATCAATGTAGATGAGCCTCTGCCGGGCCTATCATTCTCTTCTGGGCAGATACGGGATGCCCAAGATATGAACATTCCCGTCGAAGGGGCATCCTCCGGAGAGAATAGTACGTTTGAAAGACGTTTTGCTGGGGTTGAGGAAGGCCCCGATATCGACGCCACATTGATCTTTGAGGAATCCGAGAAGCTTCGGCAACAGGTAATCTTGACTTTGACCGCTGTATGTTGAATTTCGATTCTTGCTTTTTCGACTCTCTTCTTCTGTGTTTTCATGCCTTAAAGCTCTCTCACCAAGCCTTTTCCAAGTCACAAGCAGAGTTGGCTAGATGTGAGGACGAATTTAGGAAGCTCTTTTCTGAATTGGACGAACTTAAGACCCTTTATGCTCAAAAGGAGGGGGAGCTAGGTGACCTTCGAGCACATTTGGAGAGGATGTCTTGAGATCGGGCCGATCTCGATGAGCAGGTAATATGACTTTCATGGGTTTGCTTTTGCGCCCTAGCCAGTTAAGTGCTAAATGCCTTGCTTTGATTCTTTCAGCTTAAGCGAAAAGATGATCTAATGCGAGAGGAGCTTAAAATCAGAGATACGGAAATCCTCGGGCTGAAGCAGCGTACAGATGAAGTGTCCTCCGATAAAGAAGCCCTCCGAGAGAGGCTGATCTCGGTTGAGCATCAACTCCAAGAGGCAGAGGGAGAAAGACGCAAATACAGATACCTCCATTCTTAACTAGTTGCTGAGCTATCTATAGCTAAGTCCGAGGCCGCTGAACTCATGTCCTCATACAGAAAAGATGCCGCTGCTGCAAATGCTCGGGCCAGGAAGGTATCGGAAGAGGACGAGCTTAAACTCTCCCGAGCTTTGGAACATGCCCGATTAAAATCTAGGAGACAGGCTCTCGAGGATGTATACGCAGGGGGCATCGATTTGTCTGCTGAGATCGAGATGGTGAAGGCCCTAGAGGAAAAGCCGGCAACTCTGCTTTCCTCCGATGGTGGTTTAGCTAGTGATTCGACCAGCGGCTTTGAGGATGATAAAGATGAAGATGAAGTCCCCGAGGGGGAAGAGGCCATCGATGTTCCAGGGGTCGAAGGCCAGGCCGTTGGAGGCACAATTTCTGAGGGAGCTCCATCTGGTTAAACAACCCCGGTGGTAGATTAGGTTTTTATTTGTTCCTTTTTTGTGTAAGGGCTCCAGGCGCGAGCCTCGTAAATATGACTTTGTGAAACCTTACCATATGTATATAAGGATTTTTGCTTCTCTTCATTTCTTGTTTTCCCTTTGCCTTTTTAGAATAAATTTCGACGCTTGTCGATAACAAGTTCTATGTGTCGAACTTATGATATAAACCCCCCAGGTTTTCATGCTCGATGAGCGGTTGATAATAGTTGACCATTTAGGGCTTGGTCCTCGAATCAAATTTTGACTCAGGCTCGTTAACCCTTAGGTTTTTACTATATCGGCCCTTAGGCTCTTTAGGCTGGCTCTTAGGCTCTTACGCGTTGGCCCTTAGGCTCTTTAGGCTGGCTCTTACGCATTGGCCCTTAGGCTCTTTAGGCTGGCTCTTAGGCTCTTACGCATTGGCCCTTAGGCGCTTTTTAGATTGGGTCGATGCGACCTCTGATATGGATATAGTTTTCCCCTTTTCGGTTGAAGTTTTGATTATGCCTTGGCGTGTTTTGTGTTCGTCCGACTCTTTGACAGCTCAAATAAGAACCTCGATTATGAGTCGATTGTGACGATAATTGAGTGCCTCGGGAGGTTCTTTCGTAGGCCGATTTTCCGAAGCCTTTTTGCTGAAGGCTGATTGTCTTGAAGCCCTTTTGCTGAAGGCTGATTGTCTCGAAGCCTTTTCATTGTTTGAAGCTGATATGATCGAAGCTCTTTTGTTTATGCCGAGGGTAGCCTGATTAACCGGTTCTTTTCGAAGTATTTGGAGGCCTTTTGTTTTATAGCGGCACTCGGATGTCTGTGAAACGCGTTAAGTCGGCCGTAGCCTTTTGTTTGGCCGTAGCCTTTAGTCCCCGTGTGCAGTGACCTTGGCGTCTATATTGAGGGTATGCCTTTTTAGGGGTCTTACAAGTTCAAAATATAGCCTTGGCCTTCATGTTGGGGTTATGCCTTTTTAAGGTCTTATAAATTTGAGTATGCCTTGTTGAGGTCTTACAAGCTTGGTATTGCCTCATTAAGGTCTTACAAATTCGATGCGGCCTCACTGAGGTCTTACGAGCTCGAAATTGCCTTATTGAGGTCTTACGAATTCAAGTTTTTGATGGCTTCGACGAGCTGTCTGTTGACAACAGTCCCCGAGTGTTTGAGGTTTTTCGGCCCTTAAGCCGTTTTGCGTGAAAGTATTGAATTTCTTCGAGTGTTTTGACAAGCAAAGAGGTTTCGTCAATTGTTTGATGTATGTGTACATGTTTTTTGCCTTTGGAGGCTCGATTGTTCTATATGGACACGGTTTATTTGATCGTTTGGCCCAATACAATATTCTCCTATCGAGGTCCTCTTGGGCGTATTCGGTTTCTTACTATGGGTGATCTCCTGGGGTGATGCCCCGCCCCCCAGTATTTGAGGTTGATTCAAGAGAAGCCTTGAATACTTGATGAGTTCTCCTTAGGTAGTATATGGATGTTGCCTCGTTAAAAACCTCGCCGGTAAAACCCGTTCGGGATAAAATCCGGTCTAAGGGAAAAAGAGTGCAACGCGTGCTTTAAAACTCGAGGTCTTCGAGTTGGAGGGCGCTTCGATTCTTCTCGATCGAACACCTGCAGTTAGTTAGTATAAAACATAAATAAAAAGGGAGAGGGTTGTACCTTAACGATGGTGTTTGAGCTTTGATAAATTCCAACTACTTGTTCCGAGGACGCGGCACGGTCCTTTACTCAGTCATTTGGATGTAGCCGAGAATGTAGGTTGTAGTTGTTAGCTAATTTTTCACTTGTCTTTTGGCCTCTTTTCTGTAGAGGGCGTCGATGCCGGTGACATGTCATGCACCGCGAACATCTCTCTTGCTGCATGCTGCTCCCCGTATATTGCCTTTACTCCATCCTTGGTTGGAAATTTCATCATTTGATGGAGGGTCGAGGGTACTGCCCTCATACTGTGTATCCACGGCCTTCCAAGTAAGGCATTGTATTTCATATCACCTTCGATGACATGAAACTTGGTATCTTGGATCGTATCGGCTATGTTAACTGGGAGGATGATTTCCCCTTTTGTTGTTTCGCTCGCCATGTTGAATCCATTGAGGACTCGAGAGGCGGGTACGATCTGGTCGAGCAGTCCGAGTTGCTCCACCACCCTCGACTTGATTATGTTGGACGAGCTACCTGGATCCACGAGCACACGTTCATTCTGAATTCTATTCAAAAGAAAAGAAATTACTAGTGCGTCATTATGAGGCCGGGACAAGGTCTCAATGTCCTCTTCGCTGAACGTGAGAGCATCCTCTGGTACGTAACTCCAAGTTCGCCTTTCCCTGGTGATGAATATCTTTGTCCATTTGAAAACGGGTTCCTGTGGGGCGTCGACCCCTCCAACGATTATGTGGATGATGTGTTGTGGTTCTTCTGGATCGTTTTTCCTATCTGCATCTCTTTCTCGGAAGTGGTTTTAAGCCCGGTCACTGAGAAATTCACGAAGATGCCCTTCGTTGAACAAACGGGCTACCTCCTCCCCAAGCTGCCTGCAATCCTCGATCCTGTGACCGTGAGTTCCGTGATACTTACACATCAAGTTGGGGTTTCTTTGTGAAGGATCTGATAGTACGGGTTTTGGCCATCTGGCATCTTTGATTTTCCCTATGGCTGATACGATGCCCGAGACATCGACGTTGAAGTTGCACTCAGATAGCCATGGTGCCTCTACCGGCCCAGTGTGCCTATCGAACCCGGCTTTACCCACGAGTCCCTGGGAATTTTGACCTCGATCCATCCTTCGATCGCCTCGAGGCGTGTTATGCCTGGGAGCGTTTCTTCGATCTTCTACATATGGCTGGTATCTTTCTTTGTTTGATCTTGGCTCCCTTTCTGTAAATCTTTGCTCCTTTGTTAAGAGCCTTCTAGGTTATACTGAGCTCGAAAGGGCTCCTAATTGGTCGTCTTCGACCCTGATTTTTGACTGATATCTATTGTGCACGTTCGCCCAGTTCACGGCGGGTTACTCGATCAAATTTTGTTTTGACTGCCTTGAAGCTACCGAGCTTCGTTCGTTCAAGCCTATAGTGAAGGCATGTACTGCCCAGTCATCGGAGACTGGTGGTAATTCCATTCGTTCCACCTGGAAACGAGATACGAACTCCCTTAGCATCTCGTTCTCTCTCTGTTTGATTTTGAAAACATCGGACTTCCTGGTAGCGACCTTGATGGCACCAGCGTGTGCCCTCACAAAAGAATCTGCCAACATGGCAAATGAATCTATCGAATTTGGGGGTAGGTTATGATACCACACCATAGCCCCTTTCGACAGTGTTTCTCCAAATTTTTTCAGCAAGATGGATTCAATCTCTTCATCTTTCAAGTCATTCCCCTTTACGGCACAAGTGTAGGCGGTAATGTGCTCGTTGGGGTCCGTGGTCCCGTTATATTTTGGGACGTCGGGCATTCTGAACTTCTTCGGGATGGGCTTCGGAGCCGCACTTGGCGGGAATGGTTTCTGTATGAACTTCTTTAAATCTACGCCCTTCAGAATCAGGGGCGTGCCCCGGATCTGATCGACCCTCGAGTTATAACTCTCCTCCCTTTTATCGTTATCTTCTATCTTCTTTTCTCTTGATTCAATTCTTTTGGTGAGGTCCTCGAGCATCTTCATAATAGCGGGGTCAGCTGCTGACCCGTTGTTGCTCGATCTCTCCAGTACCTGCTCGACTCGAGGAGCCATTTCCGGTGCTACTGTGCTTGGGGTTTTTTAGTCGCTTTGTAGCTGAGCAATAGCCACCTGCTGTGCTTGTAACATTTCAAAAATGACTTGAAGACTAACGTTTCTTTCCTCACCGCGCACGCTTCCGTTGGTAGGAGAGCTTACATCGACATGCACAGCGTTCCGTGAGCTTACGTCGATGGCGATTTGTGCTGGTGCCTCCCCTGGGTTTTGCGGTGGTACACTGGCATCTACTGGTGCTGTCCCTGGGTTTTGTGGTGGTACACCGACATCTGCGTTGTTTTCTCCCTGGAGCCCAATGCCGTTGTTTTCACGTGCATTTGCTGAGTTAGACATTTTGACCTGAAATCAAAGATTCTTGAACAAGAAAAAGTGTGAAGGATAACTTGTGTTTTCAGAAAACTAGCACCAAAACAATCACTATTATTTTTGGCCCCACGGTGGGCGCCAAACTGTTTACCTTGAAAATGGTAACTACAATTATATTTGATTGTGTGGTTCTAAAAATACGTGATTTATTTTAATACTAGTTGTTAGGCAATGGATGCTAAGTATGAGTAAAGAAAACAAGGAATGCAAACCAAAAAGGGTCGCTAGGCTGGGCCTCGAGCTAGCTGGAGCAAGGCCTCGAGGTCTAGTCGGGCTAATAGCTACAAACAATCGATGAAGATCAATGATAATGAGGGCCTTACAGATGGCCTTTTGCTGTTAATGATGAGCAATAAATGAAGAACAATAATGAACAACGAAAGAATAAGCAATAAATGTGAAGAATAATAATGTTAGCAAAGAGAGCAGAGAATGTGTATTGTATTCAATGTGTTGTGAAATAATGCGGATCCCCCTTACAAAATGACAAAGGCCCCCTTTATATAGGAGGGGTGAACCCCAACATAGTAAATGTCTAATAAATGATGAAGAAAAGCTACTAGTACAGCTGTATAACAGCTCAGTAAGGATTTGTACTGTCCTTTACAGGCTTTGTCCTTTTCATGACGATCATCGATCGTACTGCTCCGAGATCGACCATAATGAGCCTTCGATGCGCTCCCTCGAGGAATGCACCTCGGGGTTGCACCTCATGCCCTGCTTCGGGCTTCTTCGAGGTTAAGCGTGGAGCGGCATAGTAGCCCCAAAGTCGAACTCCCCAATTTTGGCGGTATACAACCTTATCACGCTATATTGGACTGTCATGCCAAGACCGTGACCTTAGCTTTGCCGGGGTTGCCTCGACTGGAGTGGAGAGGGACTCCTGGTCATTCTGTCAGTAGGGTTGTTTCTTATATGAAGGCTCGCGTATGGTTGAAAAGGGGTGTTTGGCTTATTTGGCTTATGTTCGTGATTCTAGTGTTGAGGTTCCTTCTATGGATTCCGTGCCAGATGTTCGGGAGTTTCTAGAGGTATTCCCTGCAGACCTGCCAGGGATGCCACCCGATAGGGATATCAACTTTTGCATTGATTTGGCTCCGGGCACTCAGCCCATTTCTATTCCGCCATATCGTATGGCCCCGCCGGAGTTGAAGGAGTTGAAAGAACAGTTGCAAGAATTGCTTGATAAGGGCTTTATTAGACCTAGTGTCTCGCCCTGGTGTGCGCCGGCGTTGTTTGTTAAGAAAAAGGATGGATCGATGAGGATGTGTATTGATTATCGGCAGTTGAACAAAGTCACCATCAAGAACAAGTATCCATTGCGAGGATTGATGATTTGTTTGACCAACTTCAGGGTGCCAAAGTGTTTTCGAAGATTGATTTGAGATCTGGCTACCATCAGTTGAGGATTAGGGCATCCGATGTCCCTAAGACAGTTTTTCACACTCGGTACAGACATTATGAGTTTCTGGTGATGTCATTTGGGTTGACAAATGCCCCAGCAGCATCTATGGATTTGATGAACCGAATGTTCAGGCCGTATGTGAATTCCTTCGTGATTGTCTTCATTGATGATATTTTAATCTACTCCCGCAGCAGAGAGGAGCATGAGCAGCATCTTCGAGTCATTCTTCAGACTCTGAAGGACAGTCAGTTGTATGCAAAGTTTTCGAAATATGAGTTTTGGTTGAGTTCAGTTGCTTTCTTTGGTCATGTTGTATCAGCAGAGGGTATTCAGGTGGATCCGAAGAAGATAGAGGCAGTCAAGGACTGGCCTAGACCCATATCAGCTACAGAGATCTGGAGTTTCTTGGGTTTGGCGGGTTATTACCGTCGGTTTGTGGACGGGTTTTCATCTATAGCAGACCCGATGACCAGGTTGACCCAGAAGGGTGCCCAATTCAGGTGGTCAGACGAGTGTGAGGCAAGCTTTCAGAAGCTCAAGATAGCTTTGACTATGGCGCCGGTGTTGGCTTTACCCACAGGTTTAGGGCCATATACAGTATATTATGACGCATCTCGTATTGGACTTGGTGCGGTGTTGATGCAGAATGGCAAGGTTATTGCATATGCTATGCGACAGTTGAAGATTCACGAGTAGAATTATCCAATTCATGATTTGGAGCTAGCAGCCATTGTTCATGCGCTGAAGAATTGGAGGCATTATTTATATGGCGTGTCATGTGAGGTGTTCATGAATCACAAGAGTCTACAGTATTTGTTCAAGCAGAAGGAGCTAAATTTGAGGTAGAGGAGGTGGTTGGAGCTATTGAAAGACTATGATATAACCATCTTGTACTATCTGGGGAAGGCCAATGTAGTGGCCGATGCTTTGAGTAGGAAGTCGGCTAGTATGGTTAGCCTTGCATATATTCCAGTCGGTGAGAGACCGCTTGCTTTGGATGTTCAGGCGTTGGCCAATCAGTTCGTGAGGTTGGATGTCTTTGAGCCCAGCCGTGTTCTAGCTTGTACCGTCGCTTAGTCTTCATTATTTGAGCGTAGCAGAGATTGGCAGTATGATGATCCTCATTTGCTAGTCCTTAGGGACACAGTGCAGCACGGTGGTGCCAAGCAGGTTACAGTTGGAGATGATGGAGTTTTGAGGATGCATGGTCGAGTTTGTGTGCCTAATGTGGATGGACTTCGTGAGTTGATTCTAGAGGAGGCCCATAGTTCCCGGTATTCTATTCATCCGGGTGCCGCCAAGATGTATCAGGATTTGCGGCAGCATTACTGGTGGAGAAGAATGAAGAAGGATATCATTGTATATGTAGCTTGGTGTTTGAATTGTCAGCAGGTAAAGTACGAGCATCAGAGACCTGGTGGTTTGTTTCAGAAGATTGAGATTCCTGAGTGGAAGTGGGAGCGTATCACCATGGACTTCATTGTTGGACTCCCACGGACTCAGAGAAGTTCGATGCGGTATGGGTTATTGTTGATAGGCTGACTAAGTCAGCGCATTCCATTCCTGTGGCAGTTTCCTATTCTTCAAAGAGGTTAGCTGAGATCTATATCCGGGAGATCGTTCGTCTCCATGGTATGCCCGTGTCTATCATTTTTGATTGGGGTACGTAGTTTACCTCACATTTCTGGAGGGCAGTTCAGCGTAAGTTGGGTACACAGGTCGAGTTGAGCACAACATTTCATCCTCAGACGGACGGACAGTCCGAGCGTACTATTTAGATTTTGGAGGACATGCTCCGCGCCTGTGTTATTGACTTTGGAGGTTCTTGGGATCAGTTCTTGCCATTAGCGAAGTTTGCCTACAACAACAGCTATCAGTCGAGCATTCAGATGGCCACCTATGAGGCATTATATGGTAGGCGGTGTCGATCGCTAGTTGGGTGGTTTGATCCAGGGGAGGCTCGATTGTTGGGTACAGATTTAGTACAGGATGCCTTAGACAAGGTTAAGATCATTCAGGATAGGCTTCGTACAGCTCAGTCCAGGCAAAAGAGTTATGCCGACCGTAAGGTTCCTGATGTGGCATTCATGGTCGGAGAGCGAGTGTTGCTTAGCGTGTCGCCCATGAAGGGCGTGATGAGATTTGGGAAGAAGGGCAAGCTAAGCCCTAGGTTCATCGGGACTTTCGAGATCCTTGATCGAGTGGGAGAGGTGGCTTACAGGCTTGCGTTGCCACCAAGTTTATCAGCTGTGCATCCAGTGTTTCATGTGTCCATGCTTCGGAAGTACCACGGCGATCCATCCCACATGTTAGACATCAGCACTGTCCAGTTGGACAAGGACTAGACCGACAGGTTTGTCAGTTGAGATCGAAGAGTTTCCCCTCAGTTCGTGTGCAGTGGAGAGGTCAGCCTGTTGAGGCAGCAACCTGGGAGTCCGAGTCCGATATGCGGAGCCGATATCCCCATCTTTTCACCGACTCAGGTACTTTTCTATGTCGGTTCGAGGACGAACAGTTGTTTTAGAGGTAGAGAATGTGATGACCCAAAGGGTCATCTTTTCTTTTAGAACCCGAATCCGGGTATCGAGGCCTTGAAAACCTCATTTTCTTTCTTCTCGATTTGCGTGCACAGTCCAGGCACGTTTCCAGAAAGCTTTTATGTAAAATTTAAGAAAAATATTGAATTTGGCCTTTAAATTTGATTAAAGTTGACTTCGATCAACATTTTTGGTAAACGGACCCGGACCCTTGATTTGACGGTCCCGTAGGATCCGTAGTAAAATATGGGACTTGGACGTATGCCCGGAATCAAATTCCAAGGTCCCTAGCCCGAGAAATGAATTTTTGAAGAAAATTATTTGCTGGAAAATATAAGGATTTTTAGAAATGGAATAGTGTGTGATCTTGTTGGTATCGGGCCCGTATTATGGTTTCGGAGCCCGGTACAGGTCTGTTATGGTATTTAGACCTTATCTGTGGAATTTGGTGAAAAACGAAAGATTTTTGATATGATTCGGACCCTTGGTTGAGAAAATAGAAACTTTGAACTATCTTGAGAATTTCATGAGTTTTGGTATTAAATTCGTTATTTAAGATGTTATTTTGGCGATTTGATCGCACGAGCAAGTCCGTATGATATTTTTAGACTTGTGTGCATGTTTGGTTTGGATCCCCGAGGGCTCGAGTGAGTTTTGGATAGGCCACGGAGTGAGTAGAACTTAAGAAA